GCAGCTTTTGGGATCCATTTGTCCATAAATAGCCACCATGCTTTTAAGAACCGGCTCTGTGACAGATGAGTTAAGTACAGTCCTATAAGCTTGGAAGCAAAACTGCAGCCTTTTCTTCATAAATATTTTAACACTTTTATTAAGTGTTTAATTTGGCATATTCTTTGTTGAGAAGTCACTGTAACTATGAAGTCTTTGGGATGTCTTTATAAAACTTGGGACGTGCACAGTCCTTGCTCCTTCTGCTATGCTGGAGACAAAATGTGTGTAAGGCAGAGAGGCAAGTTCAAGGTTATTCACCATTTCTTGAACCACAGATGCTCAGCAGGCGTTGATTAGCTGTTCAGTGGCTACTAGGTCAATTCTTGTGACTGAGACAGAAAGGACAGTGTGGTGGCCACCCTCCGTGGGTTCAGAAGCAAATCCAGTCAGCTATCACTTGGTGAAGATATACCCTGAGGAATGTGCCCTTAGGCTGTTTTTATGATGTATTAACGAAGTACACTTACCCAAACCTAGGTAGTAAAGCCTGCTGTAGCCTTTCCCTCCATCATGCAGACAGTCGCAGCACCTTGGACACAGGATACAGCCTCCCAGGCTCCTTGGCTCCGTGTTTCAGTCTGCCAGCTCCCTCAGTCCCACAGTGCACCCAGTAGTTCCTTGGCTACAATCCTGGACAGCCTGTTGCTGCAGGGGCTCTACTACAATGGTATTTGCATATCTAAACAGACAAAAGACAGTAAAAAATTTAGATCATAGGATTTTTTCAGCTCCATTATTGTTATTAGAAACATCACTATACGGCATCTGCTGGTGGGATTTCAAACTGCCACCCTATTCAGTGCTGTGACTCACTCTAAGTTGCTTAAAGGTGGCCCCGACTTCAAGCAATGCCATAGTCTGTGTTCCTGGTCTCCAACAAGATATGGAACAGTGGGTCTGGGACAGGACCACAAAGATTCTGGTAGTGAACCTGTCTCCCAGGAGGGTCCAAGATGCCTGCTTTACTCAAAGAAGGCACTGTGTCAATGTTTGCTGACTTAATGAGTGATGGAGGAAACAGTGGTCCTGATTTGCTATTAGCTCAGAGAGTAGAGGCTTGGACAGGACCTGTGACTGGCCTCTTGCCCTCTTCTGTATCCTTTCTTTCTCCTCTCCCCTCCTTTCACACATCAACTTTCCCATCCCTCTGACTCAAGAAATAGAATCCAGGATATCCTGCAAGCAGGCAAGCTCTCTACCCTTGAGCATTACCACAGCCCACTCTTGCTGCTTTCTTTTTTTTCTGAGACAGGGTTTCTCTGTATTGTTTTGAAGGCTGTCCTGGAACTCACTCTGTAGACCAGGCTGGCCTTGAACTCACAGAGATCTGCCTGCTTCTGCCTCCCGAGTGCTGGGATCAAATGCCCGGCTCCTTGCTGCTTTTTAACCTGTGACACAGAGAGAGCCGTGTTCCCCAGCAGAAGAGCAGATAAGACTGAACCTGTATTCTTGGTGGGACTCTGCCCAACACTGATTCTTTGTAGGTGCTCAGGAGTAGATGTCAGTATGGGAAGAAGAAGAAGATCCTATCTTCATCCTGTCTTCTGACCCAATAAACCTAGTGGTCCCTCTGGGGGGCTGGCTCTAAGATTCCTAGTGATGCCAAACCTATGCATGCTATGCTACTCAGTGTTCTATTGCTGTGAAGAGACACCATGGGCACAGCAACCTTTAGAAAAGAAAGCATTTAACTGGGGCCTGGCTTACAGTTTCAGTGATTTACTCCAATATTGTCATGGCAGAGATCATGGCAGCATGTAGCCAGACATGGTGCTGGAAAAGTAGCTGAGAGTTCTACATCTGGATCCACAGGCAGCAGGAAGAAAGGGACACCGGTACCTGGCTTGGGCTTTTGAACCCTCGAAGTCTACCCCGAGTGACACACTTCCTCCTAATCCTTTTAAACAGCTCCACTCCTTGTTGACTAAGCATTCAAATATATGAGCCTATTGGGGCCATTCTTATACAAACCACCACAGGTGTTCAAGCCCCTTCTATGAAGTGACCACACGAACCTCTCCCACCTTCCAACCTGTTGACAAGCATGAACAATACTGTAATGCGTACAGAAGTAGATCCCAGGACAAACCCCAGACCCTCCACTGAGGATCAAGGGACACTCTGAGTCAGGCCTGTGAAAATGTCAAGCCCAGGGCTCAACTCTAGCTTCATGAACCCCTCCAGATCCTCCTTTAAACAGACACTGTTTCCTGGGTCAGAAAGTCACTGGGGTCCCTGAGTCCTGGATCCCAGCAAGCCTTGTTCCCCATGTCCCTTAGCTTTGAGAAGCTGGGCCTGAGGCCCTCTCCACTCCCTCCACCCCCATACTGCTTGTGCCACTATTGAAGTCGAGGCCTCAGCATTTTTGTTCAGCTGTCGTGAACATGGGCCTTTCCTATTCTTGTTCTGCTGCGTTCAATGTTCGGTCTCACTTGGACCGTTTATAGTCACTCTGAAAGGCGCCATCACTCCATTCCCCAGGAAAGTGGAACACAGAAGCATTAAAGAGCCCTTTCAAAGAAAAATGTCCTCTCACAGGATCATGAGGTCAATTCTTTCCCATGGGCCAGCCAAAAATAAGCCTCCTAGCTCCTCCGAGAAGACCATTCCGCCTCTGCCTAACTGCCACCTGCCAGGCAGAAGAGACAGAGCAAGCCACATGCCACTTTGTCAGGGACGCAACAAGGTCAGTCCTAATTGTCCAATCCATGAAAACCCCAATACGGTTTGCTGGAAAATGTGCTTCTGATGGAAGCAGGCTGAGCCGAGGGGGGTAGCTAGATGAAAGACAATCAGTCCCCATTCTAGCACTCGCAGTTAGTAGCCCTGGATACGCTAGGCAGCAACAAAGCTTACCTTACATTCATCCTCTTTAACCAGACGTGGAATTTGCCAGAAATCTCTAGCAAAACACTGTGAGTGCATTGAGCTCCCCGGCCCAGAGCCAAAGAGTGCAGTGGGTACCTGGAGACTTTGGGGTACAGTGTGCAGGACTTTTCCTTTAGGGTCTCCCTCTCCTTTCTCAAGTGATGGCTGCTGACTGTTCATTTACCACCAGCAGTAAGTGCTGAAGCGCCAAAAGGCTGCTCCATAACCCACCAGATGCTGATTGGGTCCAAGTCTGCTCTCTCCAACCTCTACCTCGCCTCTCCCTGAGGACCAGGCTTTATGGTTCCTGCCCTGGGCCACCAGTCTTTTCTAAACCCATTAGTCCTATATTTTGTCAAGGTAATGAAACAGCTGAGGCGTTTGTGTAGTTCTATACAAAGATGGCATTTGTGCAGCTCTTGGCGTGAGGGTTTAAAAGCATGACGCCATGTAGCAGGGCTCTGGTAAGGATCTCTTGGCAGATGGTGACACAGGGAGGGAGTACAGGAAGAAGAGATCACATTTGGAGACAGGAAGCCAGAGAGAGACTCAAGTGTCAGTCTCACTCCTTGAGGTGCCACCGAATGGTGACTCTGAGCCACTGTGCCTGGGGCAGCTCTCTGCCATGTTAGATAAGCAGAGTGGTGACGGAGTTTCCCCATCAACTGTTTGCCGTCTCCATGACATGTGGGGATAATGTACATGTTTAATTACCGGCATCTTATATTTGAGGAAATCCCATTATGGCTTGTCTTATTTCACAGGGCTGCTGTGAGAATTAAATCTCTGCACTAATATAGTCTTTCCTTACTCTCAGGATCTGTGAGTGCGAGCAAATCCCGCTGCAGGAGAAGTCTACGGCTTTGTTCTCCTACCCACCCCCTTCCAGTGTCTCTTCCTGCTTTTCCTTCCTGATGCCGAGGGTCCCAGCCTTCCCTCCTCCTGATATTACATTTTCTTCCCCTTGTGTGCTTTTCCTTTTCTTGGTGAAAAGGGAGGATGTCAGAGGCAACAGTGTGAGGCTTCCGAATAAAGCCACGTTTCCTTCAGACGTCTAAACTCGGTTGACACAAGCCCTCTTTGTTCACGTGGAAACCGCCACCTTCTCGAGATCCCTGGTGCTTATGTGTGCCTTGTTCAGTTGGAGCGAGTCCCTGTGTTCTTCCTCGGTGACCTTGTGATCTTACAGTACAGAACCTGTAGCTCTGCTCCATATTCCTCTGACAGACAGCATAGCCAAGTGAGGCTGCATCTCCAGACTCTGCTGACTTTGGGGTTCTGTGTGACACTGCCTATCTCCCCCAAGAAACCTGAACTCATCACGACAGCGAGGGCTTGAGAAAGTGTGGCAGGCTTTGTGTAACCCAGCACAATGGGTCTGGAGGGATAAGCATCCACAAGGACAAGCCTACTGTACCGCAGCTGAACTTCATCCATAGTTACATATGGCCAAATGGCTTTTCTTATTTATTTTTGTTGAGATTTTACAAAATTAGATGAGGGTGTGGTGGCACATGCCTTTAATCCCAGCACTTGGAAGGCAGAGGTAGATGGGATCTCTGAGAGTTCAAGGCCAGCCTTGTCTACATATCCAGTTTCAGTCCAGCCAGGGCCACATAGTAAGTCCCTGTTTTGTTTTGTTTTGTTTTGTTTTAAAGAAAAAAGATGTGTATAAGTGTGTAGATTTGTGCACGTAAGTGCAGTGGCTTATGCAGTCACAAAGGGTATCAGATTTCCCTGGAGCTAGAGTTAAAGATGTTGTGAGTGGCCCAACACAGGTGCTGGGAACTAAATCAGGTTTTTTGCAAGAGCTGTTTGCATTCTTAGTTGCTGAGCCATCTTTCCAATCCCTTTCTTAGTTTTTAAACCTGCCTTTTCAAAGAGTATTTCTTTAACTGAGGTCTGGGACTGGAGTTCAGATGGTAGAATGTTTGATTAGCATGCAGGAAGCCTTGGATATGATCCCAGAACTACACAAACTAGACATGATAGTGCAGATCAGAAACCCTAGTGTTCAGGAGATAGAGGCAGAAGTTTAACATCATCTTCAGGTATGCAGCAAGTTTGAGGCCAGCCTAGGCTACACGAAACCCTGTCTCAAAAATATTTATTGAATTATAATAGATTTATCATGATGCACACATAGTATTGTACACAGCTTGACAAGCCCTATGCCAGGGCCACTGGGTTAAATACTAGCCATTTCAACAGCCAGATGCCAACTGGCCCAGACTTGTCACAGGCCAGCAAGTATGACCTCTGTGTTGCTGCTTCTCACATGGGAACTCATCTCTTTTCTTTCTCACTCTCCATCATGTTGTGAGATTACCCATGTGATGTGTGACACAGCCTGCTCTTCACACTCCGTGTGTCCTACTGTGAGACCCAGTGCTGGTGTACATCTAAGTGGTTTCCAGGTCTGGGGCATGGTGGACAAATTGCTCTGAGCTCTCACACACACAGCTTGGTGCACTTGGTTTGCATTTCTGTTGATCCCCCACCTGTAAATGCAAGTTCAACCCTACTAAACATTGCCAGGGTTCCCACATGACCACACCAGTGGACACATCATCCCACTTTGGGAGAACACTCCCATCCCCACCCTCACCATGGAGGACTTCCTGTTTTCCATCTGTTTCCAGTTAGCAAAAGACAGTTTTCTTGCACTGATCACTGAGTCCAAGTCAGAGACTCCACTAAGTGTCCCATGGGTCCTTACATTAAACCTCCTAGGAAGCCATCCTCGTTTTCAGTAAGGTAGCTGTTTTCACCTATCCTGAACTATGTGATCAGAAGTTGATCCCTCCCTGGCATTTGACTAGATGGTCAAAGCATCACTGCTCTAGGACAAATTCTAGCTACGATTCCCAAGTACAGCTCTTGGTGCATCTGTGGGTCAGACTAGTAAATTAAGTATTGAATCTGAGGAGGTCCTTGGAGCTCCCAGATTTATAGCTGGTGGTTAGGTAAAGCCAGAGTCTAAGACTGTACCTGGAGCGGGAACAGTCTTACAGAGGATAGAACTTTAACTAGCCCACCTGCTATGGAGGTCAGAGAGTTTAGAGTAAACCTGACTGCCTTTACCACTGAGTCAGTGGACACCACTGAGTACCAGTGGATACATATCATGCTGATGGGAACCAATGATATAGTCAGCACTCCTCCCCAAGGGCCTTAGTAGATGGGAGTCCAGACACCCACAGTGCTCTCTGGGAAGGAAAGTCACTGTTTCTGAGTTTGCCAGGTAGTGACCAGCCAGAATATGGACCATATGTGGGCAGGGTTGCAGTCACTTCCAGGAGTCTGGTAACCTGTTCCTCCTCAGAGATCCTTCCCTTGGGTTTTGGACAGGTGTCCTCTTGTGGGTTATTTCAGTCACATTTTCACTGTGAAGTAGAGCAGGTCAGGAGGAGGTCCTCAGGATGGCTGTTTGCTCCATCACCCTTTGTACCATGGTCACACAGGAAACTGGTGCTCTCAGAGCCTAAGCCCCAGTCTAGAAAATATGTTAAGAATGAGTGCAAGTGTCACATTATAACTGGTTTTTAAGTGTGTGTGTGTGTGTGCACACCAAAGGATAGCCTCAAATGTCATCCTCAAGAACACTACCCATCTCCTTTGATACACCTCTCATTGGCCTGGAGCTCACCAAGTAGGCTACATTGGCTAGCCAGTGGATCCCAGGGATCTTTCTGCCTCCACTTTCCTGGTGCTAGGATCACTGCCTGGATTTTCTAGGGAGATCTCAGGTCTTCATGCTTGCAAGTCAAGCCCCTTACTAAGGGAGCCATCTCCCAGTTCCGAGTTACCGCATCACACATAAAGAGGTCACAGGGAGATGATGATAAGGAAGAGACACAGTAGTTAAGGCTGTGTGAAGATGGCCCCACTCCCAGCTCAGGGAGAACAGCTGAGCATTTGGGAACAGAGGCACCCTAAATAGAGACAAGATTTCACACCTTTGTGCTACAGATTTTCAGATGAAGGTCTAGAAAGGACTTGCCATAGCAAATAGTCTTCCTGGAATTATTTTTCAAAGCCTGTTGGATTGAACCCTGAGGCCTCTGCTTTCTCTGCAGTTAATTTCCCCCCTACAGCCTCAAGAGACTCATGAGTGCCTGGATAGGAAGGCTGTGGGTCACTAAAGACTGGAGCTTTGAGGGTTCCCACTGTCACAGAAAATTTAGTCACTGAAACATCTCTAGCCCTGTAATACCATGTTTATCATATGGATCACATACACACACACACACACACACACACACACACACACCTTGGAAGGCTACAGGGCAGACACCAAGTCATGAAGGAGTTTTGCTGTAATAGATTAGGAGCTGAACACCTGACTTTATTTCTTACAAATATAGTCACCATCACTCTCACCATCCTGGGCTCAAGAGTCATTGTCTCTAAACTGAGTTGTGGAGACAGATGGCCTTTAAGGTCCATTTGACTTGAACTCACAAAGATCCACCTGCCTCTGCCTCCCGTCTCCCATGTGCTGGTATTAAAGGCATGGGCCACCACTGCCAAGTTTGAAGTCCTGCTTCTTAAACTGTGTTACATAATTGTATGGGGTCATGCGATTGAACATGGGCATCACAGAAATTTTGGCAACAGTGAAAAGGTTTCCAAAAGTGCAACAAATTAAAATTAATTCAAAACCAAACACACAATCCACATCATTTCTGAAGAGCTGCTCTTCTGAGGTGTTTCTTGTGTCCTGTCACACGACGTCACCGTAGCTGTCATTCTGAACACACAAGTGCACTCCACACTACACACACACCATCACACCACAAGACAGTAATACATACTGCTGGAAACATTTTGGCTCAGATTCTAGACTATCATGTTCTTAGTGTGCATACATGTTTTCTGTTCCTACATAAACATAATGCTTTTGTTAGGGTTTTAGAGGCAGAGTAACTTGGTGGATGGGGCCAAGGAATGCCACAGAGATCACACTATGCAACAGATCTCACCCAAGAGATTTATTGGGGGTAGAGAAAGGCTCAGATTTTGGATGAGAGAGAGGGGGTAGACAGACAAACAGACAGGGATCGAGAGAACAGGTTGGCTGTGATGGCAGGGACCTCTTAAAGGGACATAGCACATGTGCACAGGGGGAATATGTGGCTCGTGGTGACAGTGGAAATGTGCTGCATTTGGTGGCCAGCACTGAGTGAATGATGGCAGGCTGGGGGAGCACCTGGTTTCTAAAGGCAAAGAAATAGGCAGGGGTGACTGGTGAGCAAGAGTGGGAACACCATGCTCTTTAGACTGCTTTCTGTCATCTGGGGGTATCAATGCCTTTGGGGACTCAAGAAATCTGGGATGCTAGCCAAGCCCTGGAAGAGCAGGTTGTTTCACTTACACTCCAGGCTATGCAGGACCATCTGGGGGTAGGGAAGCACAGGCAGTTATCTGTGAGGCTGGACCACCTGGGGTTAGCTGTTTGAAGTTGTCTGGGATGCAGACTTTGAGGGAATACTTGGAGTTGGCAGGTTGCTAGAACAGATATGTATTAGGAACAGTGGTGAAGTTAAGGAGTTTAGGGGGACAATACTTTCTTAGGTGTACATTTGGATTTTCAGGTCTATGGTCCTGGTAGTTGGAGGAGGGGAGTCCCAAGATCAATGAAGGGGGATATCCCACCATCAGGAATAAACAAAATAGGCAGATGGGGGAAAAGGCTGTTGATTGACAGTAGTTATCTGGAATCATTTGACCTGTGAGAAGTGGATTCAAGTCGATGCCCTGAAACTTACAAGAATTTTTTAAGTTTACAAAAAGAGTTTTAGATACATCACCATTACCATTGTTTATACTATGTATTGAAATTTATATTGAGTCATAGTAAAGGCTTGGGAATCCAAAAATGATTTGGGGTTAAAAGAATAAGCACTCTTTCCTCTCTCCAGAGACTAGGTGTATATAGATCAGACAATTTTTTTAGCACAATGAGAAGCACTATTAAGTCTGTACTTAGAAGACAACCAAAGGAAATTTAAAATCTTGAGCTCCTGACTATAATAGTAGTCAGTGCTTACCAGAACTAGAGTAATATCTCCTCAGTACTCCACTGATTAATGTTGAAACTCTAAACTTTTGAAGTCTTAGTATAACAATGGCATAGAGAGGGAAAGAGATCTGAAACATTTTTCATTTTTATATACCTTAAGTCACTTTCATATACCTTTACAAATTGCATTTACACACTTAAAACACCTTTTTAGACCTGAAAACATTTTTTAGAGCCTCAGTCCTTACATAAGCTTTTCCCCAACCAATCATTCACCATGAGACACAGGTGGTTACTGAGAGCAGCCATTGTAGATCAAGTTCCTTTAAATAAAGGGGTAGCAAGACCTTACGCTGAAATCTGTTTTGTCAGTTTATGTCTTTTTAGAATCTAGTAGCAAGGTAGACTGGAGAGCCGGTAGTGGCTCTGGGAAAGTGAGGCCTGGTTTTTTACATATGAAGAGAATTAAGAAGGCAGATGAAGCCTTGGTTGCTGCTGTCAGACTAGCAAAGCTGCGGGGAGGTGGTGGCGAATGCCTTTCATTTCAGGCAGATCTCTGTGAGTTCGAGACCAGCCTGGTCTACAGAGCGAGTTCCAGGACAGCCTCCAAAGCTACAGAGAAGCCCTGTCTCGAAAAACAAAGCCAAAACAAAACAAAAAATAGCAAAGCTGTCATGAGCCTAGTGGGCAACACCATCAGAAATCTGAAGAGGATAAATTTCACCAGAGTAAGTAGGAAGCACAGACCTGGAGCTCCAGAATGTATTAAAAATGAAAGAGACTTACTGGCTACCTGGACAACCACCCTAGGGTCCTCTGTGGTCTTTGGGGCCAGAAGTCCCAGGACAGTGTCAGTCTTTGGCCACCAGGCCCAGAAGGTCTTACAGACATTCCTGTGGAAGAGGGAGGAGGAATTTGGGGGACTGGTTTACCTTGTCTAAGCAAAGCAGGCAATCAACTCCCCAGGGTCCTGGTAGTGGGCATGGTGAAAGGCACTTTTTCACCCAGTGGCTGGCCAAGTCACATTAAAAAGGAGGTCTCAGGCATATTGCCAGAAGTCTATAAAAATTTTTTGTTGTTGTTGTTAAACACTTTAAATTCCATATTCAGCACCCATTATCTATTAAGTATATCTAAACTGAACAAATTTCACTTGTTTTTGTTGTTGTTGTTGTTTTTTTAGGCCTAACTTTGAAACATATGCAGGAGGCTAAATCAAGCATATTCTTGTAATCAATTACATTAGTCTGAACATATTAACAAATTTGATCATTTATAAGGTGACTGGCGATTAACTTGAATGTCTTAACTATCCTTAACTGTTAAAATAAGTTAGTAACTTTTATAAGACTAGGACTTAACATTCCCCCTGTTAAGTTTAGCCTTAAAAATTAACAATTTTTGAACTGAAGTTCTTCTAGTATCAAAATAAAACTTTTAATCATAATTACAGTCCATAGGGAGACTGGCAACCTTGCTGATCCTTTTATAGTGTACCGTTACAGAACACTGATGGTTTTTTTTTTTTTTTTTGAGACAGGGTTTCTCTGTATTGTTTTGGAGGCTGTCCTGGAACTCACTCTGTAGATCAGGCTGGCCTCGAACTCACAGAGATCCTCCTGCCTCTGCCTCCCGAGTGTTGAGATTAAAGGCGTGTGCCACCACCTCCGGCGTTTTATGACTTCTTAAGATAGTGAAGTCACATAGCATGTGAGTTCTTTTGTTAAAAGTTTCAAGCCAAATTTTGTTACAAATCCTGAGGTAAGAGTTTACAGCATAATCTTAAGAGATTTTTCTGAGAGCAGGGCACAGAGAAATCACAGAGTAAAAGCTTTGTAGGCATGGAAAGCAGAGAAAGTGTACAGCAGAACAAGTTTAGATATGAGAGATTTGGGGTTCATTTGATTTGTGAGAATTTGGAAATCAACTTTGCCCATTTTTGACCATTGCTCTGTCCTGAGGCCAGGCTGTTGAAAGGTCATGGGGGAACAGGAAGGTTGACTGGGGGGGGTAGGATAAGGGGAAGGGGGAATCATAGGTTAGAAGACAGATCAGGCACCATTGTGACCTCTAGTGATCTAAAGGGATGACACCAATTGGCAAGCTAAGCAATAGGGTAGAGACCACCCCGAATGCCCATTCCTGATAATGAACTTGATGTCTATAACCATCCTGGAGCCTTCATCCAGTGACTGATGGAAGCAGAGGCAAACACCCACAGTTAAACACTGAACTGAACCCAAGGAACCCAGCGACAGAGAGAGGAGCAATGAGCAAATTGGCAAAGAATGGGCTGACAAAAACAGCAGAGACAGCTGATCCGAACAGGGGAGAGCTCTTGGACCCCAGACCGACAGCTGGGAGGCCAGCATGGGACTGATCCAGACCCCCTGAGTGTGGGGGTCAGTGAGGAGGCCTGGGAAACCTATGGGGTCCTGAGCAGTGGATCAGTGTTTATCTCTCGAATACTAACAGACTTCGTGTGCCCATAACACAAAGAGGGATGCTCTCTCAGCCTGGACTCTTAGTGTGCCTGGACCCTACCCTGAGTGAAATGACAGACTCTAGATATCCCCTATGTGGAAGGAATTGGCAATAGGGTGGGAGGATGGGGGGATGGGGGGTACGGGAGGAGGGGAGGGAGAGGGAACTGGGATTGACATGTAAAATAAGCTATTTAAAATTAAAATAAAAAAAGAAGGAAAAAATCTGAGTCCGTGGAGGAAGAGAGAGGGTTGTACAGCAGAACACCTTGCAAATGTGTTCCTATAAGCTCCAAGAGGGAGCTGAGAGCTGAAGCTGGGATCTGCTGGCTGGAGCCAGAGATAGCCAGGGACAGCCAGAGACAGCCAAGGACAGCCAGGGACAGCCAGAGACAGCCAGAGACAGCCAGGGACAGCCAGAGACAGCCAGGGACAGCCAGAGACAGCCAGAGACAGCCAAGGACAGCCAGGGACAGCCAGAGACAGCCAGAGACAGCCAGGGACAGCCAGGGACAGCCAGGGACAGCCAGGGACAGCCAGGAGAGTGAAGGGGAGTGGGGAGCCAATAAGTGTCTTTAATAGAGAGGCCCATTTGGGTGTAGGAGGCCAGAGCTGACAAAGAACTTTGCCCATGTGATGGGAGCCCTAAGGGTGTAGAAGATGGATCCAGAGAGAAGCCAGAGAGACACTTATGGCTAGGACAAGGAGAGGAATGGTTAAGGGACAAGGAGGAACAAACAGGAACTGATAAGCAGGGCAACAGCTCCTAGAGGGAAGGCAAGGAAAGTAGCAAAGTATGGGCCCCTGGAGGCACAAAAAGGGATAGAGCAGGTAGCTCCAAGTGGGAGGAAGCTAGGAAAAAAGAAAGAGTTCCAGACTGCTCCAGTCGGGACTGCAGCTCCTGGACCAGGATGCCCAAGGCAGGACTGCAGCTCCTGGGGGACAAGAGAGGGCGTGAGCAGCAGAGAAAGGAGATGTCCATATGGGTGCAGCAGGCCAGAGGCCACGGCAGGATACAGGAGCCAGAGAAGCACATGGGTGCCCACATGGACGGCAGATCAGGCCAGAGGGAAGCAGAGTCGGACTCCAGAATGTGGAGTCAAATAAACAAATGATCGGTACGTACCATAGGAGACTTGGTTCAGAGGGGACACTGAAGGGGAGAAGTGACGCTCAGTTCACAGTTGGCAGAGTCTGCTCCTATAACTCCTAAGCCACCTACTTTGCACTCTCTGGTCCTCGCTCAGCCTGGGTGTGTAGCTAGGGTGTAGAGCACTGGCCTGGCACGTGGGTTCCATCTCCAGCACCATGTGAGGAAGGAGGGAAAAATAACAAAAACACAATGCTAAAGGAAAGACAGAGAAGAGAACCTGGGATGTGATCCCATCTGTTCAAAACATAAAGCAGGCAAATATACAGACAGAAACAGATGGGCACTGCTGGGGGCGGGGAGACCACACCGAGAAGGTTTAGGGTGTTGCTAGAACGTGAGGACTTCTCTGGGGATGACGAAACATTCTTGGATTGGTTTTGCTGACAGTTCCTCAACTCTGTAAACATACTAAAAGCCACTGAATTATAGACTTCCTAAAAAGCTTTCCAGAAGCTCTCATTTTGTGTCAAGCTCCCCACCTCCTGCCCCGAAGCCTCCTGGGGGCCCGATACAAAGCAGGTCAGCATGACTGGCATGCACCCGCCCTGCAGTTCTAGTTCTTCCTCTCCTGGTGGCCCTTTCTGGTGACAAGTGGCAGGTGCCACACCCAGGAGAAAAAGGCAGTCAGGGTGCATGTTAAAAAGCACAGGGGAACTTAGCTTCTCCCCCATTTACAGGTGAGATAGAACACACAAGTTCACAGCTCCTCTGGTGACTGACATACCATCAAACACAAGTTCAGAATTCCATCTGGCAAGTTTGTTCTGAAAAGGGAATTCCAGAAAACAGTTCCTCACTGAAGTGGGCTTGCCACATTACAGACATCACACATGTGGCATGCAGTTAGCAGCAGACAATGAATGTTCCTTTCCTCTCTCTCAGCATTCCCCACCCCTCTCCCTCTGTCCCTCAGCATCTTGTTCATGGGTAGGATAGGCAGACATGGGTTGAGTGATTCTATGTCATCCTCTTGGGACCAGAGTCCTGGTCACTCCTCGCTGCCTCTCCTTCTCCTCCCTCTTCCTCTGATCTCATCAGTCCCACTTCACCCTGCTCTCCTGGATCTGGAGATGCAAACACTCCTCTGAAGTCCTAACCCTGACCCGCTACTTAGTGGGAGAATCTGGGTCACTCACCTGCCATCCTGTGGTGTCCCTCACAGCTGTCTCAGAGCCCCAAGCTTTCTGGCTACTCCTGTTTGTCAAGATGACACAGACAAACCTCTTTTGGGCAGGAGCTCCACCCAGTCACTGTAATTCCTCAACCACCCAGAATTTTGATTAAATGTGTTCTTCTAGGACAAAAGCTTTGTTAGTATCCAGGTTGTAGCTCATACTGTTTTGATAACTGCCTGGTATATCATTTCATTTGGTTTGTTCCTCTACCGAGCATGCACCATGAGACCCCTCTTCACTCACATCCAGGCCAAATGCAACAAAGAACTTGGAGGCAGGCTGAGTGTACAGGTATCTCCCGTTCATTCTTTCTAGCTCTTGTTCCTCACCGCGGGAAACAGCAACCTAGAAAGAAGAGGAAATCAAAGCGAAACACAAGGGAACACAGACTTGCACTCGGAACACCCTTTAAGGGTCACTCCCATGAAGTCAAGTTTCCTCTGCACTATGCTGGGGGCCTTGGTTGCCAGGTGGGTGGGGCCATCGTGACAAGCTTGCCAGGAGAGATGGTGAGAGGGACAGGGTGAGGCTGGTGATGATGGCGAGGGCGTAAAGACAGTGATGATCAAAGGGGAAATGCAGATGGTGGGGTTAAGATATGGTGACAGCAGTGGTGACAGAGACAGTAGTGGTGACGCGGCTGTTATGATAAGCGGATGGGGACCTTGCGGGGGGGGGGGGGACCTTGGTGGATTCCATGGCAGTCGAGGTTGACCGAGGTGGGGGACAAACACGCCAGGCAGACAGAACGCAAGAGAGAGGTTTCATTAGAAAGGGGAAGGAGGGAGCAGGAAAGAGAAAAGAAGTAAAGTGGCCCAGCGACAGGGAGAAGTCAGGAGAGGGAGGAGATGGAAAAAGCGGTCTGCCCAAGGAGAACAGCAGGAAAGAGAGGAGGGGAAAGAGAGAGCGCCTAAGTGGGCAGGGGTGGTTCTTTCAAAGGATTCCTCTGCACCAGCGCGTAGTCTACACAACCATGGAACCCTGGGCTGATGAGGGTTCCTGAGTGCATCCTGCCAGGTGACAGGTGACAGGGGCAGGCCAGCATAAAGCCTGAATCCTTACAGTGGTAGTGATGCTAGCGACAGTGATGGTGGTGATGCTGGTCTGGTGCTGGTGGTAGCAGTGGTGCAGTGGTCAACGGTGGTGATGGAGGCGGTGGTGATGGAGGCGGTGATGGAGGCAGTGGTGATGGAGGCAGTGGTGATGGTGGTGGCGACGGTAATGAGTGTCACACACCTGTCCCATTTAGACTGAAGAAATTATCTTTCCAAATTCAAGGTGGCCAGAGTGCAGAGTGCCATATCTGCGCCCCCCCCCTGGCCCTCTATGTGGGGTCAACTTGAACTTCTTTGAAGAATATTCCCTTACTGGCTGCCACCTGTGGCCAATATACAGTCTTACTTTTCATAATCCAGAGGAATGCAAAGTCACCATGAAGTTGCCCCTTCTAGTCCCTAGGGCAGTAACCGGCCCATCTAGGGGCAGTAGGATGAGAGTGCTGCTTCTGTTAAATGTAGAGCGCTTCCCCTCCCTCACCCCTGGAACATTCTGCCCTCCCTTCCTACAGGACAGCTACCACTCATCCAGTCTCCTCAGGAAATAGCTGCTGCTGTTGGCTGCTGCTCAGGGACAGCCATGCCTACCTTTTAGGAGACAGGCGGAAGCTCAGAGGTACTGTGCTGATGGGCCTTGGCTCTGTCTTCTCTCTTGTGCTTGCTAAGACCTGGGAACATGAATGGGAAATGGACATCTGTTTGCCTTACTGGACACTAAAAACCTCCCACTCAGAAGATATGGAGGGGCATGAAGATGGAGACTTCTCTCTCCTATATGTCACTGTCACACAGGCATTGTCAGTGTCCACCTCCATGCCTTTCTGCCCTGGCCAGCAGGGCACAGAGAAGGTCGAGCCCACTGGAACCTGGAATGAAAGGGACAAGAGACACAAGGACAGACAGCAAGACAGGCTTTCTGATCAAGCTGCAGCTTTTTATTTTCTCACAAGGATTCTTATAGTGGTTGAAGCAGGAAGCTTGGCAGAGCAGGGGGTTTAGGTGGGAGAGGCTATTGCTTTGAAGCAGGGAGCTTGGTCTTGGCAGGGTATGCTCCAAGGACGCAAGTCTGTGGCAGGGGGAGTCTGGACTGCAGGCCAGGTGGCAGAGGGGTGGAAAGTCTGTACTGCAGGCCTTGAAAGTATGCTGTACAGTAAGGCAAGCAGACACAGAGACATAGAAGCCTAACTGTGTTAGTCTCTAAGAACACAGTAGGAATATAAAGATGGTTTTTATTATGCTATCCTTATTTAGGACCTTCCACAGCTGGCAATATATACAAGAGGTCTTATATTCCAATGATCGCTCCCGGCACCTTTCAACTGTGAAAGGTGGTTTTGTGGAAGCTGCGGCCACAGAGGTAAACTAAGGCCTTCAAAGGACCACAGGGACAGAACATGGGACTATAGGAACCAGGGGCTCCAGAGATCTGGTGGAGTTTCAGTCACCAATGAAGTCTGAAGAGTATTCAGTGTGGCAAAAGGAATCTAAGCTAACTGGTTGTTACTGAAGAATCAACTGTGTTCAGACCATAACCCAAGTGGAAGAAACTGAATTGGGCATGAGTCTCTGCCCCTTTAAGGTGTCTGCTTGCCTGAGAAATGCATCTTCCATACAACATTGAGCTGCCTGCCTGAGGACAGCGTCTTCCACACCACACTGAGGTATCCACCTGAGGACAGCGTCTTCCACACCACACTGAGGTACACCTGAGGACAGCGTCTTCCACACCACACTGAGGTAGGTACCCACCTGAGGACAGCATCTTCCACACCACACTGAGGTACCTGCCTGAGGACAGCATCTTCCACACCACACTGAGGTACCCACCTGAGGACAGCGTCTTCCACACCACACTGAGGTACACCTGAGGACAGCGTCTTCCACACCACACTGAGGTACCCACCTGAGGACAGTGTCTTCCACACCACACTGAGGTACCCGCCTGAGGACAGCATCTTCCACACCACACTGAGGGTAGGTACCCGCCTGAGGATAGCGTCTTCCACACCACACTGAGGTACACCTGAGGACAGTGTCTTCCACACCACACTGAGGTACCCACCTGAGGACAGCATCTTCCACACCACACTGAGGTAGGTACCCGCCTGAGGATAGCGTCTTCATCCTCGTGGCTGTTTCAACACCATTACAGTATAGCCAAGTTCTGTCAAATGTGTGGTCTTTGTCCCCTGTTTGTGAAGGGATACCAAAGAAATGGGAGGCTTGCAGGTCTGAACAATTGCTGAAGGCTCTACTGATCGTCACTGGACAAGACTGGGGCTAGCCTTGGCATCTTTGTCTTGCAATTGGGAAGGTTAGACTAGCTTTGGCCCCTGTGACAAGCATAACAGTAAGTAGGGAACTGGAGCTACTGTTGGCCCTTCCATGTTGCAGTGGGAGATATTTGGACTAGCTTTGGAATGCGATAGAGAAAGGGCAGTATTTTCCCAACATTCCTATTTACTCAGCCAAGTGTAAGGCAGAAGCAAAGGGAGCCTCATCTTTCCTAACCCTATTTCTTCTAGAAACACTGATAAGCAGTCAAAAGAGGCTCTCTGTTCCTGAGGTGGCATCCTGAACTTGAGATTGAAATAGGTCACTGTACTGAGTGTGAAGCTGTGTTTGTCAGTATTTGGCATCAGATTTAGGTCAAGGCCACTGAATAGAGAAGGTGCTGCTGGAGGTCGGGGAAGCTACAGCCCTAGCTGCCCCTCAGCTTGGCCAGCTGTACCCAGGCCTGTGTCCAAAGCTGAGGGCAATTTGGTGCTCTTTCCTTAGTGGCCCATGGAAGAAGCACGTGGAGCCTCTGAAGCTTGGGGACACATGGATTTGTCGGACCTAGATGAAGACTTTGATGTGCTTTGGGAAAGCAGGATCCTCCTAGGTCTGTCCACACCACCCACTGGGCCCTGGCGCTTCCATTGGCTCCAAGGTGTCCCACCTGTTCCAGTGCTCTCCTTCAGTGCTAACCAATGAGGCAGCAGGATCTTACACCTGCCAGCCAGCATCCCCCCAGGGTGCTGCAAAGGCACCATGTGTGTCCAGAGAGAAAAATGACCACATGTCCTCAGGTGTATAGTCCAAGCACACAAGCTAAATTGGCTTGTAAAGTTTCCCGGTTTCTTTCAAGACTTTCAAAATCACTCAGAACACAATTTCCCTGGCAACTGGAGCAAAGCTCTTCCCTCCTGTGAGGATGTTAAAAATAACACACACTAGGCCACGGTTACTCACATCTCCAATTACCTCTTGCACTGTCCCTGGGCTGCTGCACACACCCAGTTCCCTTGCATCTCATCCATCACCAAGGCAGCCTTGTCAGGATGTGGGGTAGCTCACCTGCATACTCTTGCTTATACCTCCTCGCTGCCTGCAGGAAAAAAAAAAGCTGGAGTTTGGTCATCAGTGGAGGGGCATGTGTGCATGTATGTGCCTGTGTGCACGTGCATGTATCTGTGTGTTTGTGTGTATGTGTGTGTGTGTGTGTGTGTGTGTGTGTGCTTCTTGAGTTCATATATCATCCCTGGCTTCAAATCTAGCACGCAGGAATCTTCCTTGCCTTTCCCCTTTTCATTTCAGAACCTCTCTTCCACGGTGAAAATCTCAGTTTCCCAAACAACACATTTCTGCTTTACTGAATCACACGTGTGCAAACTGGAGACAGAACCCAAGGCCTTTCACATGCAAAGCATGTGCTATGTTAGTCAGTTACACTCCGACCCCCCTCACCCCTTCCCTGTGTAGCCCCCATGCTTTAGTTACTGACAACATTCAGAATTCTCTGATGAGACTGCCCTCTTCTTCCTCCCCCTGTTCTCCTCCCTGTCCTGTCCCATCCTTTATTCTGTCTTCTAATATGATTAACACAAACACAAACACAAAAAAGATTTTAAAGTTAGCTCAGTTTTTACACAGGTATAGAACATGCCCCATTCTCTCTAGAATATTCTCCCATTTATTTTCCACTTTTCATGAAAGAACATGAGGTAGATACATTCAACGTGGTGTCCTTAAATGTCAAGAAAAAGCCCAAGTTTCTTGTGGGGGAAACCAAGAGGTGAAAAATGAGAGATGGGGATAGTAACACATGTCTATAATTCCAGAATCAATGAAGCTGAGGCAGAAGACGGGGAGTTCCTGACCAGCCTGGATAAAGCATCAGACCCATCTCAAAAAGTAACAACAATGAAAATGTTTATGGAAGGATAGAAATGGCTCAGTACTTGTTGATGGGTAAGAACACTTATTGCTCTTGCAGAGGACCTGGGTTCAATTCTCAGCACCCACATAGAGGCTCACAACCATTCATAACCTTGTTTTCAGGGGATCTGATGCCCTCTTCTGACCTCTTTGGGTGCCAGGAACACATGTGGTACACAGACATACAGGCAGGCAAAACACTCACACACATACATATTTTTTAATGACCTTCATAAATAAGCTCTATTTTTCAGTTACTGTAAACTACTTATTTAGTATGTTATCCTTTATTTTAATATTGTTAAAGACTGCTTCTGAAATGGTAACATTACAGCTCTTATACTAATAAAACCAAACACATACCAAAGAGTTTATTTTGCATAGTCTTTAATCTGAGAAGCAGTAACAGGTTACAACTAATTAAAATGAAAAATCCCAAGAGTGGATACAGAAGCAACCAGCAATGTCAGCATGAGATGCTTAATAAATGAAAATTTGTCTCCTTTTGTGGTGGCAAAGGAGTCAATTATGCTTCCCCTGGGGAAAACTTTATTGTCATGGTTAAAACTGTGTGTTTCAGATATGATGAGAAAAGGGAAGCTCAGCTCACACCTGTGACCCCAGCACTGGGAAGACCAGGGCAAAAAGATTCCTCTGAGTTCCAGACCAATCAGTGATAACAGCGATACAGTGTGAGACCCTGCTCCCAGCCCCTAGAAAGTGAAAGTAAGTTAGGTCTAGCAGTAGTAAGCCCGGGAAACTTAAGGAGGCCTGTGTAGACTTTTCTGACTGCATGTTTGTTCAGGTGGAGGTTGTCCCTCTCGGAGCTTCAGGGAAGGGAGTCTCGGAGAGCCTCGAGTTACTAATCACGGTTCTCTAGAAGTACAGAAGTGGAAGGATGAACCTACACTACAACGGGGATTTATTACATTGGCTTACACAGTATGGGCTGGGTAGTCCAACAGTGTTTGGCTGCATGCTAGAGAGGCTGAGAAATGGGTTTGCTGCTCAGTCGACAGTGCTGGATGCTTTAGCCACTCCAGCCTTTCCCTGGAGGTCCCGAGGGTTCCTGCAGAGGCACTGATCTGCCATGCACATTGGAGGTTCAAGGAAGCTGTGTTCTGATGTCAGGAGAAGAATGCAGCAGCGGTGGCCATCAGGGTCAACAGGGTGGATGTACTCATGAGCAAGATGTGAAGGCAGGCAAGCCTTTTCCTCGGACTGGAAGGTGCTGCCCCCTGGGAGGGGGGATGGACTTCCCCTCCCATTTACTCCTGTCTGGAAATCCCCCCACAGACCCACCCAGAAGCATGCGTCTTAGTTTCTTCCTGATCCAATCAGCCTGACAATGAAGATTAACCACCATGCCCTTCAAGGTCTTGATGTTGTGGTTTAGGGGTGAAAGGCAGGAAAGTGGCCATGACCTTCCTGCTTCTACTGTCTTCTCAGATGCTACAGTGCCACATTTGGGAGTAACGTATCTTAAAACACACTACTTTGTGGCTAATTTGCTATAGTAATTTGCTACAATGGATCAACCAATACTAACATTATTATGTGCTAAAGTGCTAATTTACCCTGATTTCCTCCATTTCTCCCTAAGGTCCTTTAAACATCTTGGGACACCCCCCTCCAATGGCCGTTTGTTATCATTGCCTAGTACCCAGAAGAAGGCATCAGATTCCCTGGAGCTAGGATTTCAGATTGCTGTGAGCCACACCATGGGTGCTGGAAACTGAACCCAGGTTCTCCAGAAGTGCTCTCAACTGCGGAGACATCTCTCCAGCCCTTGTGATTATTTTTAATGTTAACTTGCCACAAACTGGAACCACCTGACTATGGAGCTTCACCTGGAGAGATGTCCTGGTAGCCTTGGTTGATTGGGAAGACCCACCCTGAACATGAGTGGTACAAGTCCTGATGAAAAGGAAGATCATCTATCTGGCTTTTACTTTTTGGCCTTCCTTTTGTCAGAGTGTTAATTTGCCCTGTTGCTGCTGCCGATTCCTGTGCCGACATCACTGCAAGTATTCCCAAGCCTTCTTAGCAGACTAGGGACCAGTGGCTCCAAGAATCTTCTGAGCTTCTAATACATGATCAAGACTGCTGAATCACCCAGTCTCAAAGACCATATAATAATGAGGTATCATGATTTTTTCCAGCTATGTGGAGGGTCAATATGCAGATGTCAGAATCAATTGCATATTGTCAATGTCAAAAATCACTGTGCACAATGATTTTTATTAGTAGGCGTGTTTACCACTATTATTTGTTTCCAGTGCTGGGAATTGAATCCAGGGCCTCTCACAAGCTGATCAAGGGCCTCTGAACTGCATTCCCAGCCCTGCCTACAATTCTGAATACAAAAAAATCTTTGTAGTTTCTCATTCTTTGCTACACAGTCTTGTGACTTTCCAGCTCGAAACTTCAGGCAAATCTTCCTGAAGATGTCAAGTGCAGTATCTTCCCAGATTCACGAACTGTTCTGCCATGGGTCGCAATCATTTATATACTAGCATCACATATCCTCACATTCAAAACTTCATTCTTTCACGGGCCATTAACAAAGCTACTGGAAAAACTGGAGTGCTGTGGCCATAGTGTTGAAAGGGGCACACAATGGAGTGGAATAAGAAAGGAGCCAAGAAGAGAGAAATTTCTGAAAGAAATAATTCTATCTAAATCAACAGTGGAATGGAGGTCATGTGACATTCTGAAGGATGCTATAATTGGCTCTGTATATGCAATTGTTGGGGCCCATAAAGACGGCTTTGCTTCATCTTGGTTACTCTTGACCCTCAAGGCCAGATAATGGGAAATTGAGTCTAAGGTGCAGTTATCAAATGTTTGGAGGATTAAGGGAAGAAAGTCTATTTCTTCCTTATACACGATAAAGAAGTCTTTTGCCATGTTCCCCATTTGGTTGGGGTACTTAAGAATATTGAAGAATAAACTTGGGGCGTTCAGTATTCCCTGGATTGCCCTCTCGACTCTATCCTGTGTCTCTGTCCTTCTCTTAGTGTCTTTACCTGCCATTTCTCAATCCACACTCCCTTTCACGTATGAACTGGGCAAGTCGGCTGGATCCGACCAAAACTCCACAGACAGGCTACAATATGCAATGGCCTCTATAGCCCACCAGATCAGCAAGACTGGGGATGCTGTTGGCTTCCAGTGTTTCCTCTATCGCACAATCCTCTCTACCTTCATTCCATGACTTCTTCTGCTGCCTGACTCATGTCCCAAAGCCTCAAGAGAGGATGTGATAGCTCTGATGGTCACCATCAGCCAAGCTGGATTGAGGTGTCAGAGACCCCTGAATTCACAGAGCACAGAGAAGCCTATAATGTAAAACTAGCTTTGGGTACTGGACCATGGTCCAGGGTCTCCACATGCTGGCCATGGAGACAATAGGCACATATGCTGTCTGGCTCACGGTTGGTATGGCACCAAATAGGCCAGGTTGGGTTTCTCTTTGACAAAGTGACCAGAGGTCTCTCTCACCATCACCCTACTAATAAATACCCCACAGCAGCATACTAGTGATTGAATAGAGAGTTGAGGACCATCTGAATCTGCATAACTGTCTAACTGAGAGCTTGTTCCTGCTTTAAATGCTGTCTCCCACTCCAGGACTCCTAATTCCAAAAGGGTAGGCATTACGTGCTGCTTTCTCACTCTTTGCCATGAATGAGCATGGATATAATTAACAGGAGCTTCCCAGTAGGATAAAAAGTAAAAGAGGAAGAAGGAGAGAAGGAGGGAGGGGAAAGAGACTATCCTTATCCACAGGGTCTATACATTCTAGATATGGGATTTCTGCAATCCTACTTTCCATTTATAAAATTCACTTAGTCATGATAGATGGCTGATGGACGGATGGACGGATAGATAGAATATGGTGTATATGATAGATAATGAATAGATAGATATGATATGTAGATAACAGATTGATAGGTATAGACAAATGATTACACAGATGATAAATATAGAGCAATGATAGATACATATAGTATTACATACAGATATTAGATAAATTGATAGACATGGATATACTTGGCTATATAAATAAGTGATAAATGTTGGATAAATATAGACAAATAATAGCTGATAGATAATGACAGCTATATAGATATATAACAGTTATAGATAAGTAACAGGTAGATTATAGATATAGGTAGGGGATACATAGATGGGGGATAGACGGCCAATGAGGCTTTATGTTTCATTATCTAATAGCATTCATCCAGCATCATTTCCCCATGCATACACTATTACAGAATGAGTAAACTGACAAGGAAAGAAACAAGTGATTTCTAAAATTTAAACCTGACAATTTGGACTGAGCCTTTCTATTGTGCTGTGAGATGTCTTCATGTCCTCTTTCCACATTGTCAATAGCTGCTTTGTGAATGAAAGACAAATGACTTCAGATAAGTATGCAGTATGGCTGACAGTGTTTATGGATGAATGATGGGATGAGATGGTGCCTCATATAATATAATAAATAGATTATATTTTCATGCCAGGAGATGTGGCTGTGCCACCGGGTAAATGCCTTTTCCTTGAACAAAGATGCTTGCATGCCCTTCAGAAACATTCAGCAGCCTCCTTTATTTAGTCTAAGCCTGAGGCTGTGATATTTCACTGCTGTTGTGACCCAGGTATTTCTGAGTTGCTTCTGATGCTGGGGCCTCACAGCCTGATTCCCATGCATGTCGTGTGTGACATGGTGCAAACATATGCCCTTCCCATGAGCTCAGGCTGAGTGGTCTCAGTCTAAAGCGTGCTCTGTGAGGCATGGATATAGCTGAAGCAAGAAGCCTCAGGAGGCAGGATGATGTTACTTCAGATGCCTGGAGCTATTCTTGGCAGTCTCTGTGTTGCTGAGGGCTCATTATAACCCTGGATGCTATTCTCTCTGGGACACTTTGAAAATGGCCCTGCAATGCTCCTCTGGCAACTGGAGGAGTTTCATCCAGCTCTCTTACTTCCACACTAGAGCTATCCAAACCGATTTAAGAGACTCACTTAGAAAAATCCCTCCTCTGGGATGCCTGGGGCTCCCTGGACAACCAGTTTAGCCCAATGGTCACGCTCCAGACTCCAGACCCTGTCTCAAAAAGTGACACAGTGAATTGATTGAGGATGACGCCTGACATCACTGTTGATTTCTGGCTTGCACACACGCACACACGCACGCACGCACACACGCGCGCACGCGCGCGCACACACACACACAAGATTGGCAACTTAAAAAAAATTCCCTCTCTGCCTGTGTCAGGTACCATTCCAGAAATGCCATCACCCATAATTCAAAATAACTGGTCAATTTGCTAGTTTGGTTTAATCTAATAACCCTGTCCCAGAGGAGAGTCCTGGTATGCAGAGCTTCTGTGGCTGCTGTGGGCTTAGTTTTATCATCGAATCCCCCAAACCCTTCTGTAAAAATCAAAGCTGGACTCTTGCTGAGACAGTGTCCCCCTGTGTAGACCAAGGAACTTGCTTCAGCCTTTGCAGAGCCGGGATCACAGGCATGCACCACCGCTATTGGCAGAGCTACTCTTGTTTCTGTCTGTTAGGAAGTGGAAGTACCCTGAACAGCCATAGTAATGAAAAACACCACACAACTGACTAAATGCTTCCTTTTCACTCAGCAGGAACAGAACTAAAGCAGAATCCGGGACTGTCAAGGGTTAGATGTGGACTTTCTCCCACAGGCTCCTGTGTTTTGGTACCTAGTCACCAGCTGCTTGGGGTGGTTGTGAGGCCTTGCTACCTGGGATTCATCACTGAGGATAGGCCTTCAGGGTCATAGCTTAATCTCTCTGCTTCCTGCTCTGACTTCCGTGTGAGAGGCATCATCAGCCTTAGATGCCTTCCCCACCATGACAGAGTGGTATATGGAGTCAAAATATCCCCTCCCCTAACTTAGGTTGCTTTTGCCAGGCATTCTGTCATAGTAACAAGAAAAGTGATGAATATAGGAGCAGGAGAAGTAGGCAAGTGAGGGCAGTTCTCACCTAAGCCTCCGTTGTGCTGAGTATAGGAGTGTGGGAGTCTGCACTGGAGTTCCAGTTGCTCCACTGAGGAACCTGAGGCAAAACACCTGCACAAGGAAAGACTGAAGGACTACAGCTTCTGGGTCAGGGTGAACTAAGTGAGCCTTGTCGTGGAGATGAGGCGAGCATACTCACTTATCCAGATTTTGGGTTAGAGAAAAGAAAACCTTCCCCTGGGATACATAACTAGAATAACAAGTGATGGTAGTTTTTAGTCCAAATTCACAGAACCGCTCTCCAGTCACCAAATAATATGGGGTGATATTTATTCAAAGCGGTCCCAGGCAACTGAAAAACAAAACAAAACAAAACAACCCTCTCTACGAATATTGGCTGGGCCACAGGACTTCCTTAGACAATGACCCAAGGGTATAAGCCACTTGCAGTACAAGTCACAAAATCTGAAGAGAAAAGGGTAATGTGTGTGAGAGAAGATCATAGGTAACTGCATTGATCTGAGGTTAGTGTGGCTTTGAAGTTACCTAAAGGCAAAGGAGGGGCTGGAGAGGTAGCTTCGCAGTTAAGAGCATTTGCTGTTCTTGCAGAAGACCTGAGTTCAGTTCTCAGTGTCCATAAGCAGCTTTCAGTCATCTCTAACTTGAATTCCAGAGGATCTGATGCACTCTTCTGGCCTCCAAAGGCATCAGGCATTTATCTTGTACACATACATAACATGGAGGCAAACACTCATACACATAAAAAAAGACATAAACACTCTCTGCCATTTCTCTGAGGAGGCAGACAGATCTGTCTCTCTTCTCTCTCCCATCTGTTCCCTGCCCTTGCTCCCTTCCCTTCCCCCAATAAACTTCCTTCTCACATTAAAAAAAGACATAAACAAACAAAAATCAAATGGGATTGACTAATAAATGAGATGAAATAAATGGATGGCCTCAACAATAGATTAGATATGGCCCAAAGAGACACTTAGTAAAATTAAAGATAGATCAAGAATATTTTTCAGTGAGACATGGTGCATACCCACAATTCTTGGCAGAGGGTCACGAGTTCAAGGCCAGTTTGGGCTACAGAGTGACATTCTGTCAGAAAAAGTTAAGAGGAAAGAAGGGAGGAAGGGAGGGAGCACTAGAGGGGAAGAGTGGGCTATAGTTTAGAAGATAAGAGGAGCTGTGATGTAGCTCACTTGGTAGCGTGCTTGCCTAGCATGAATAAGGCCCTGGGTTCAATCCTCCAACACTGCACAAACTGGGTATGGTGGTACACATCTGAAATCCCAGTACTCAGGGGCTGGAGGCAAGATGATCAGGGTTCAAGGTCAGCCTCTATTACACAGTGTTAGAGGCCAGCCTGGTAAATGTGAGATCCATTCTCCAAAAACTGAAAAATTAGGGGGAAAATGTTTCACAGAATTGTGGAGGACACCAAATTTAGATGCAAGGAACCAGTGAATTCCAAAGTGATAGAAGGCCCATTATATAAAAAAAAAAAGTGGGCAGCGTGCCATGCTGGGTGCTGCCCAGCTTCAGTCCTCAGAGACCTGCATGTGGGTCCTGGAAGAGCTAGAAAGAATCACGAGCCTCAAAAGAGCCCTGATGGGACCAAAACAGCAAAAGCCCTTTCACAAGAGTGTATATCTCAGCAAATGTTGAAAACAAGCCTTGTGTTCATCAGGAGGCGGGAAGCTGTCCAAACAAACCAAGCATCCACACAATGGAGGTCTTTAAAGAGAACGAGATGTGATTTCCCAGTGGAGAAGAGAGAGAAAAACTGAGTGATGGAGGCTGGGGAACTTAATCGGTCCAAAGAAAGGTCCAAAAACAAAAAAGTGCAAGGGGAAGACAGAGGAAGAAAATAATGAGGGCAAAGACAAGCATACAGCAACAGACTTCAGTACGTGGTTTCAGCAGTGCCTTGGTGGGCATACTCTGTTTAAAAGTCAATGTGCTAGAATTTAAAAGAATTCTAAGCTGGGTGTGGTGGTTCCTGCCTATGATTTCCACACTTGAGAGACGGAAGAAGGTGGAGTACTGCAGCTTTGAGGCCAGCCTGGCCTAAAACGTGACATCTTGTCTCAAAAACAAAAACATAATTCTATGCATATTCTTATGACAAGATGTACCTAGAACATAACGATCTTAGAAAAGGCACCTATTAGGCAAACATTAACCCCCCAAAAGAGACCATTAGACCTTAAAGAAAATAAAATTTACTAGAGATTATACCAGAGAAAAGATAATAATTAAAGGCCCAAGTTGTAAGAATGAACTGGTAGGAATATGATATTTAAATTAAAAAATTATTAAGTAAATTTGACATGTATAAAAGGAGAGGTATAAAATTTACCTTAATAGTGAGAGAGCTAAAAGTGCCTCTGTAGTCGACTGTAGTTGGTATGCTGTAAGTGAGCTACCAAGTGGACAGAAGATCAGTAGGCGTGGAAGTGTGACCTAATCTCAGCTTTGCCGTGGAGATGGAAAGAGGAGAGGGAGGGCGGGCTTGCACTATCAGGCTTAGAGAAGGCACGAGCATTCAGTCAGTGTCCGTGGAAATGAGCCATCTTCCAGACTAGGAAGCCCTCAGCACCCCGTGGGAGCAAAGAGCAGTTCCTGAGACAACAGTGTGATTATTATGTGAGGATAATGACAGCAGTAGCATGAACCTGGAGGGATCACACACCTAGGTGGTAAAAATAGACTCCTTGGGTTATGAGATGGCTCATGGGGAAAGGTTCCTGTTGCCAACGATGACCCGCGTTCCACCTCCTGGACCACATGGAAGAGGGAAAGACCCAGCTCTTGCAAGCTGTCCCACATCATTACCAACCCCCTCACAATAGTGAATAAATAAAGGCAATAACAGAAAGGGGTTTTAAAATGGACTTATTTTCAAAAAGATTTATTTTGATTTGACCAGTGAAAACCGTGTGTGATCATGGCATACTGAATATGGGTTTTTTAATTAGTTTTTTGAGTATTTGATGTAATGAAATACCCTCTCCCCCAACTCTTCCCAGATCTAATCCCCTCCCTTTCCACCCAATTTTGTGCCCTCCCCCACATCAAAGCCAATTCGTGCTGCCCATATACTCTTTTTAAATATTTTAAAATTTGGTTTTTGTTTTTCTGAGACAGGGTCTCACTATGTAACTCTTGCTGGCCTGGAATTGGCAGTGTAGACCAGGTTGGCCTCCTACTCATTCACCTGCCTGTGCCTCCTGCCCACGGGAGCATAGCTGACTTATAGTCTGTGCTCTTAGAGAAATCTGGCCCTTCTTCTCCCAGCAGCTAACAGCTGCCAGTAGCTCCTCAGCTGAGGTGGGATTTGTATCAAACTCCCCTCTCCATACTGAGATTTGGTCTGACTGGGGGTTGTGTCTGCTGTCACAAGCACTGTGAGTCCATACGTACAGGTGCTCTGCTGTGTCCAGAAGGCACTGTTTCCTTGCGGTCGTTCACTACTTCTGGCTCTTACCCTCTTTTGGCCCCCTCTTCTGCAATGATCCTCAAGTCTTTGGAGGAGGGGTGCAGTATGATGTTTGGTTACAAAAAAATAAACTTCTTTTTTTTGGTTTTGTGAGACAGGGTTTCTCTATGGCTGTGGAGGCTGTCCTGAATTAGCTCTTGTAGACTAGGCTGGTTTCGAACTCACAGAGATCCGCCTGCCTCTGCCTCCCGAGTGCTGGGATTAAAGGCATTTGCAACCAACGCCCAACCAAAATATAAATTTCTCAGCTACTCATTGTTCCATCACAAAATGACAGTGGGATGGGAAAATATTTAGACATGCAAAATGATTAGAATAATATACACAGGACTTGTGGAGGGAATTGAAGCAGATGTCTATTAAGCCGACCACCTTAAAAAGAATGTCTCTAAATAGATGAGCAAAGCATCCAAATTAACTTGATTAATAATGCCTTTTGCAGCATGGTGGAGCTTGCCATTAATCCCAGCACTAGGGGTGGAGTGTGGGGGCAGAGGCAGGTGGGTCTCTGTGGGGTCAAAGCCAGTCTGGTCTACACAGTCAGCTCCAGGACAACCAGGACTCATAAAACTTCACTGAGACAGTGAGGTCATCTTATGAATTCAAAGAATAAAATCCATGAACCACAGAGGATGAGTGTTAGGGAGTTTTGTACAGATGCACAGGTGGGAGTGAGGAGGGGTGGAGGGGCAGAGCTACTGGGTAACAGGGAAGATCCCTGGGAACAGGATACCATTGAGCTGATAGGCTGGGGGCTTTTTATACAGATTAGAGCAGAAACTGGGGTGAGGTCCTGGGAGGGGCATTGTAGCAGGCTTTCTTTTGGGCCACCAACCAGCTCCCAAATCATGACATAAAGACTTCTTATTAATAGTGAATTGTAGGCTTCAACGGACGCTGTAACGATACGCGACACACAATTACTGAAAGTAAAGCTAAGTATTTAATGTAGAAATTACTCACAAGATACCAAACAAGTAACCCAGACGATACAAGCCGTTTCCTCTGCCGTGCCGGAAGCCGAACTCCAGGAAAAGAGACCGAGACGTCCTGTGTGCTGTCTTTTATACCTTCCCCCCGTAACGCCCCCTAGCCATGCCCAAAAGTGGGCCTGGCTAGTGACGTAGTTCCGCCTACGTACGTATACGTCTTTACGTCCAGCCGTATACGTCTTTAGTCCTGCCTAAAGTGGGTTTGGTTAGCGGTGTGGTAAACTGCCCTTTTATTACCTCATCTGTATGCGCCTCTAATAAGTCACATGTTTAATGGCGGCATCAGACTTCCTCCTACAGTGAATGCTCAGCCTTATCTCACGCTTGTCCCACAAGCTCTTATAGCTTAAATTAGCCCATTACTTTTTGTCTACATTTTGCCTTGGGGTGTTTTACCTTTCTTTCATTCTGTATGTCCTATTCCATGTCTGGCTGGTTGGTGGCAGCCTGGTTGGCTGATCCCGGGCATCTCCCGCTCCCTCTCTTTCTCCCTTGTTCTCTCTGTCTCTCTCTGTCTCTGTCTCTGTCTCTGTCTCTCTCTCTTCTCTCACTTCATCCAGCCTAGATTCCTCCTACTTATTCTCTCTGCCTGCCCCCACCCCCACATATTCCTCTATCACCTAGCTATTGGTCATTCATCTTTTTATTAGACCAATCAGGTGCTTTAGGCAGGCTAGGTGAAACACATCTTTCCATAATTAAACAAATGTGGCATAATCAAATCTAAACACCCTCACCTACTTAAAGTAATATTCAGCAGCATAAACAAATGTAACACATCGTTACATAGTTAAAGTAACATTACACAACAGGGCATGAGGTGACCAGTCCATTTGGACCCATTCTGGGTGTCCGGGAGCTCTCCCCTCAATTCCAGTCTCATCCTCATTTGTAGCTTCCAGGCAAGGGTAAGAGACGAGGAACCAATAACTAGAACTCTCTTCTGGCATTCCCAGCCTCCAGCAGGGACCTTGTCAGAGTCACTGCTTTGGGGTCCCTGTCTTACCTGACCAGTTGTTATCTTGTTTTTAATCCCAGGCTCCCCTTCAGCTTAGCATGACCTTGAAATTCTGATCCCTGCTGCACCTCATCTGAATGAGTTTGGGGGGAATTGGGGAGGTCTGTGTTGGCATGTTTGGATTTACCTATGGATGTCCAGTTATTCCAGAACTCTCCTCCCTGAAGTTTACTGCTTTTGCTTCTTTGCCAAAGGTCAGCTGACCGTATCAGAGCGGGTCTGTTCTGGGCCCTCTGTTCCGTTGACTGAAAGCTGTGTTCCCTCATCCAACCATCTATTCTCTTGCTAATCCCAGGTGGTCTCTTGGTTACCGAAGCTACGGTAAATCTGAAGTTGGAGAGTTCTCTGAGTTGTCGTCTCCTCAGTGTTGCACTGGCTCGCCTGTGTCTTTTGCCTTTCTAAATGAACGTTAGGATCAGTTTGTCATTCCACAATCATTTGCTGAGGTTTAGATGGAGACTACACCAAAGCTGCAGCTCAGTGGGCAGATCTCCCCATCCATGAACATGGGATGTTGGTCACTTGTTTTTGCTCATCAGATCTTCGTAGTGTTCCAACATAGGTCTTTGTAGGAGTAACTTTCCTTGGTGCTGTAACTAAATACCTAACAAAAGCAACCTAAGGGAGGAAGCATATAATTGGGGTCACAGTTTGAGGGTGCAACCCATTAAGGCAAGGAAGACAGACATCAGGAGTGTGAGGCAGTTGACCACACGCCATCCACAGTCAGAAAGCAGAAAGAGATGAATGCTATGCTCAGCTCGCTCTCCCCTTTTTTGGGGGGGGGATTGAAGACAGGGTTTCTCTGTGTAGCTTTGGAGCCTATCCTGGCACTCACTCTGTAGACCAGGCTGGCCTCGAACTCACAGAGATCCGCCTGCCTCTGCCTCCCGAGTGCTGGGATTAAAGACATGTGCCACCACTGCCCATCCCGCTCTCTCCTTTTTATTCAGTCTGAGACCACAGCCCATAGGATGGTGCTGCCTGCATTTTAGGGAGGGCCTCCTCACATCAATTACCTCAGTTTTGATATCGCCTCACATATTTCCTCGGGGGTTTGTTCCCTAGGCAATTCTAGATTCTGTCAAGTTGGCAGTCAACTTTAACCATCACAGTCTTGTACATATTGTTAGATTTATACACAAGTATTTTGATCTTTTCCCTTTTCTTTCTTTTTTTGTGCTAAAATTATTTTTAGAAGAAAATGAAATTAGAAAGCTTAGCAATTACAAAGAACTAAAGTAAAAGGGGGAACATTAAGCTGCATAATTGAAGGCATAATTCCAAAGGCAGAATAGCACAAGAGCAGAATGCAGTTTGTTAAGAAGGCATAAAGAAAACCCAGAGGCTTCTTCAGTGGAGCAAACGTGGGAACAATCTGAGGCTCACAAGAAGAGCCTGGGAGCCTCAGGGGCAGTGCTGACTGTCCACAGAGCCGACTTCACCAGGCTGCCCCCAGCCCTTCACAGCACCACACCATACTCTAAAGGCGGAGACAGTGTGTGTGTGTGTGTGTGTGTGTGTGTGTGTGTGTGTGTGTGTGTGTAGCAAGCAAGAAGAGGAGACAGGGAAAGCAGAGCTCAGATACTGCATGTCTCCTCTGTTGGTCCCAAAGCTACCATGAAGAGCTGAGACACCACCTGTTCTGAGAAGGCACAGGCTGTCAGACAGACCCAGGGGAGGTACCAAACGAAGAACTCGGTTTGGCTGATGAGCTATAGATTGGTCAAGGTTGAACTCTGAGAGCAAGGGTTTCAGAAACGGAAAACAATGGGAGTTAAGCTGCAGTTTGGTAAAAAGAAGTGACATCCCAGGTGGTGAGTGCTGAGAACAATGGGCAGGAAGCTCAGAGGAAGGTTTAGTTTTGTCTCCGGTGGGGCAGACTCCAGTGTAGTATCCCGTGCCATGGTGTTAAGGGCTGGTGCAAAGGCCGTGGGGCTCTTACTTAAGCTGTATCC